ATAAAAAACAATTAAAATTAATACAAATTATAAATTTATATTTTTAAATAAAATATTATGTGCAAAATGATGTATAAAGCACATATAAAATCTTCGCTCTTGGATAAATAAAACTTTCACAGTTTATCCAAATATATATTTATATATGCAATAGTTTATCCAAATATATATATATATACACACATGTTCTATGTTACTTTTGCTCTTGCTGGTATATCATTTTAGATTTTTCTAAACATATATTATGTTGTCTGTTATTGCACTAATAGTATCTAGTATGATTGAAAAAAGGATGATATTTTGCTCTTATTTGGTAGTAACTATAGTGAACAGAATTATGATGCAGCGGTTGGAGACATTTCTATCATTGCAAATAGGTCACTGTATGCCGACTTCACGTTGCCTTATATAGTGTCTGACGTGGTGATGGTGGTTCCAATTAAAAACAACTCAAAAAAGAATGCCCTGGTGTTCTTGGAGCCTTTGACAGGTGATCTCTGGGTCACAAGCACTTGCTTCTTCGTCTTCATTGGGTTTGTCATCTGGGTCCTTGAACACAGAATCAGTGAAGATTTTCGTGGACCGCCCTCACAACAAGTCGGAACAAGCCTTTGGTTCTCTTTCACAATCTTGGTCTTTGCCCATCGTAATGATCTAATAGAAAATTCAAGCTCTTTGGTTTCCAATATAGTGCAAAGTTCACTTGAGAGAGAGTTTGAGCTTAAGGTTCAAAGCTCTTTCGAGTTTTGTTTTATTTCTAGCCCAAAGCTCAATAATTAAAAGATGAAAGCTAATTCTGAATTTTGTTTTCAGGGGAGAGAGTGATGAGCAATTTGTCGAGGTTTGTGGTGATAATATGGTGCTTTGTGGTACTCATTCTTACACAGAGCTACACAGCCAGTTTAACTTCTCTTCTAACGGTTAAACGGCTGCAGCCGACAGTTACAGATTTGAATGAATTATTGAAGAGTGGGGAAAATGTTGCGTACAGAAAAGACTCCTACACCCAAAGATTCATCCAGCAGCAGCTGAATTTCAATTCGGCCAATGTGAAGACATTTAATACGTCCGATGTTCTTGATGAACTTTTTACCAAGGGAAGTGCTCACGATGGAATCGCAGCTGCGTTCGACGAAACACCTGGCGTGAACACGTTTCTTGAAAAATACTGCATGAAATACACCACTGCTGGACCAACCATTAAGACTGGTGGCTTTGGATTTGTGAGTTCTTCGATAGCTCTCCTGTCCTCTTATCCACAAATCATTCTAATTTTCCCTTTTTGTTTTTTATTCTTCTTTTGGTGTGTGAAATTGTTTATTTCTAGGTTTTCCCAAAAGGTTCTCCTCTTGTAGCAGATGTTTCAAGGGCAATTTCAATTGTCACTGAAAGTGGTAAAATGAGGGAAATTGAAAATAAATGGTTCAAGAAACATTGTACTGATTCCAGTACCTTGGTCTCTTCCAATAGGCTGGATCTTGGGAGCTTTTGGGGCCTCTTTCTCATTGCTGGGGTTGCTGCGGCATTAGCTCTCATCATCTTTGTGGCCGATTTTCTATACAAGCAAAGGGATGTCTTGCGTGGCTCTGAAGTTTCGACCTGGAAACGAATCCTTCAATTGTTAAGAAACTTTGACCAGAAAGATCCGAGGTCTCATACCTTTAGGCAAAGTGAATTAACTGAAGGAAGGCGAATTGATAACATAGAAATGATGGGTGCTGTTGAAGCCTCGCCAAACACCAACTGCCTGCATAGTGCATCAAACTCGAACCAGACAGATTTGAGCTCTGTTTTCTTCGGAGAGCAGGGAAGGCCTTCAACTAGTCATGAAGTTGAAGACACGAGCAGCATACCATCTCCATAAATAGCAATTCATGAGCATACAATATTTCTAGAAGCAACAAAAGAAAAACATACAGAAAACGAATAGATATATTAGCAAGAAAATAAAATGGAGGATATACCTTCCAAGTGTTGTTGAACATATTTAGAAATTACATGGAAATGAGAAAAAGTGCTTGAAGTACTAATTCTGGCAAATATTGTACAAGACACCCTATCAGTTTAAAGTGTT